AACTTGTTGTAATAAATTAAAAAACATGATTTTCCCAAACTGTGAGATGGGCCTTACATATTTAGGGATAAATGAGTTATCGAATACAGCTTCCTTTAGAGTAACATTTACACATATTCCAGTATGGTCCGACTGATAAAGTTTAGCAGGTGTTATATTTATCATATCTGAATTAATATTAGTAAACACATTATCAAGTGTGTTGTTATAACGCGTTTTAAATCTGACAGTAGAATATAAGCCGTAGCTAGACAAAAGATTACAAAAATAATTGGCTTTTGCATCATTAGTGCCAAATAATAAGTTAAAATCTCCACCCACTATGACGTATTTAGATTTGCAATGAATTTCATTAAGAAGAATGACTATAGTATCAATAAATTTATGAAAATCGCCTTTTGGCGAGCGATAAACCGTTATTAAAATTAAATCTAACTTAGTGATAAGTACGCCGCATAATTCGCAATCCACCTCAGCAGAAAGTGCTGATACCTTATCAGACAGAATCTTGAAGGGGATACTTTGGTGCATCAGCTCCATGACTCCTCCATGCTTCTTTGAAGACCGCGCAAAAAATGCTGCCGTGTTGAAATCGGGCACATGAATATTATCGATTTCGATATGGTTCAACCAATGTTCACAAAGGCAGATACAATTTATTTTTAGAATTTCCACTTCTGAAAAAAGCATATTAAATTTGTTTCTAATGCACTGTATGTTTAAAAATAAAATTCGAAAACTGGCCCCTTTGAAACAGAAATTTTCTATTAATTCATTAGGGACGTATTCACTTTTTCGTTTTTTAAGAAGTAAAATTTTTTCACTAAAATTCCTTCCGGCCATAATTCCTCCTTGAAGAAATCCTTAAAAATTGTTTTCTCCACTGTGATTTTGAATGACACGCTTTTGGCAGTAGGCCTCTTAGGAAGTTTGTCAACACTAATTTCTTTATCAGAGAATTTAGACTTTAAGAATAGCTTCAAATCGTTTTCAGACGTGTTTGGATGTAAATTACCGACATAGATATACCCATTTCGCGGCACAGCCTTTATCAACGTATCATTTTCATTTGTAGCAGAAGCTTTACCTCGAATGAAGTTACGCTTTTTCTTTCTTGAGACAACAGTTTGAAAACCTTCGGCATCATTTAGGGCGTTGTGAGAAGATATTTCTTCATTTTTTTCATTTTTTTCCATGTTCGACGATGCTACGTTTAATGATGGATTAGATGGAATAAACGGGATAACCTTTGGGTCTAAAACGGATTTATTATTGTTATCCTTCGGAATTTTCTGCTGTTTATTAGTTTTTTGGCCGGATCGGTTTTGGACACTCTTATCGCGTGATGTTTTATAGTGTACTTTTTTTTTCCACTCGTTTGTATCGTTTATGCCATCGGAAGATATATCGGAGAACACATCGACATCGAAAGAGGGCACCTTCAACAAATTATTTTTGGGATAATCTGTCAACATTTTTATCATATCAACATTGGAACTCTTCACATTGTTAAGCTCTTGTTTAAGACTTCGAATTTCGTCACGCAGGGAGACGGTGGCTGCTTCTATTGCCTTGCGTAAGATGCTAGAAAAGGTGTTGCTTTTTAGGAAACTAATTACTGTTTCCGTTATCAAAGTTTCTTCATCTCCTATCTTGACAGATGTACTCTCTGAAGTCGCTGTTTTATTGTGATGAAGACATTCCATTTCTGTTTCGGTAAAGAAACGAAACACTTCCTTTTTTTTATTTTTTTCACGAGCACAACTAGGGTGATAAGTTAGCCCACAAACTACACAACGTGTACACTTGCTTCTTAGCACTTGTTTGCATTTATCGCACTTTATTTCCGATTCACTTCTTTGAGAATCCGAAAACACTTCTTCACTCGTCGCCATCTTGTTCGAGATGGTGAAATATGACACGAAGTGAAAATGAGATATGTTAAATGAGAAATGAGAAATGGGAAATGAATAATAAATGAAAAATCAGAAATATGAAATGAGAAATATGAGAAATTAGGATGGTGAAAAATGTGAGAAATGAGAAAGATACAATGAGAAGGAATGAAAAATGAGAAATATGAATTAGAAATGACACGATGTGAGAAATGAGAAATGTGAAATATAACACGAAGTGAAAATGAGAAATGTTAAATGAGAAATGAAAAATGGGAAATGGTACGATGTGAGAAATGAGAAATGTGAAATATGACACGAAGTGAAAATGAGATATGTTAAATATTAAATGAGAAATGAGAACTGGGAAATGAATAATAAATGAAAAATGAGAAATATGAGAAATTAGGATAGTGAGAAATGAGAAAGAAACAGTGAGAAGGAATGAAAAATGAGAAATATGAATTATCAACTGAGAAATGACACAATGTGAGAAATGAGAAATGTGAAATATGTCACGAAATGAAAATGAGATGTGTTAAATGAGAAATGAAAAATGGGAAATGTGAAATGAGGACTGAGAAATGAATAATAAATAAAAAATGAGAAATATGAATTATGAAATGGGAAATGACACGTTGTGAGAAATGAGAAATGTGAAATATGACACGAAGTGAAAATGAGATATGTTAAATGAGAAATGAGAAATGACACGAAGTGAGAAATGAGAAATGTGAAATATAACACGAAGTGAAAATGAGAAATGTTAAATGAGAAATGAAAAATGGGAAATGACACGATGTGAGAAATGAGAAATATGAAATATGACACGAAGTGAAAATGAGATATGTTAAATATTAAATGAGAAATGAGAACTGGGAAGTGAATAATAAATGAAAAATGAGAAATATGAAATGAGAAATGTGAGAAGGAGAAAAAATAAATGATAAGTGTGAAAAATGAGAAACGTGAGAAATGAAAAGTCTGAGAAATAAGAAATGTAAGAAATATGAAATAAGAAGAAAAGAGAAATAACACGAAGTGAGAAATGAGAACTGAGAAATGAATAATGAGAAGAAATGAAAAATGAGAAATATGAATTATGAAATGTGAAATGAGACCTGAGAAGTGAGTAATAAATGAAAAATGAGAAATATGAAATGTAAGAAAATGAAATAAGAAGACATGAGTAATTTGACAGGAAGTGAAAATGAGGTACCTATGTGAAATGAGAAATGGGAAATGAATAATGAGAACAAATGATAAATGAGAAATGGGAATTATGAAATGAGAATGACACGAAGTCCGAAATGATAAATGTGAAATATCAAATGAGTAATGTGAAATATGAAATGAGAAATGAGAACTTAGAAATGAATAATAAATGAAAAATGAGAAAAAATAAATGATAAGTGTGAAAAGTGAAAAACGTGAGAAATGAAAACTCTGAAAATAAGAAATGTAAGAAATATGAAATAAGGAATGAGAAATGACACGAAGTGAAAATGAGATGTTAAATTAGAAATATGAGTTATGAAATGAGAAATGACACGAAGTGAGAAATGAGAAATGTGAAATATGAAATGAGAGCTGGGAAATAAATAATAAATGATAGAAGAGAAATATGAAGTGAGAAATGTGACAAATTACAAAAAATAAATGATAAGTGTGAAAAATGAGAAACGTGAGAAATGTAAACTCTGAAAAATAAGAAATGTAAGGAATATGAACTAAGAAGTAATGAGAAATGACACGAAGTGAAAATGAGATATATGAAATATAAAATGAGAAATGAAAAGAGTGATGAATGTGAAATATGAAATGAGAAATGAAAAGAGTGATAAATGTGAAATATGAAATGAGAAATGGGAAATTAAAAATGACAAAGAATGACAAATGAGAAATATGAAATGAAAAATGTGGGAAGTAGGAAACGTGAGAAATAAGAAAACTCAGAAACGAGAAATGTGAGAGATGAGAAATATGAAATGAGAATAAATGATAAATCGGGAGAAATGAGAAATGGGAAGAAAAGAGGTGTGAGAAGAATTGAGAAATGACAAGAAATGAAAAATGTGAGGAATGAGAAATAAGAAATGGAAAATGAAAAATGAGAAACGTGGGAAATGAGAAATGTAACAAACGAGAAATGGGAAAAATCGTAAGAAATCATAAATTTGAGAAATACAAAACCAAGAAACGAGAAATGTGGGAAATAGAAGAAACGAGAAATGCGAATTATAAAATGAGGAATGAGAAATGATAATTGAGAAATTAGAAAGGTGAAATGCAAAATAAGAAGTGAGAAATGAGAAATACGAATTGAAAAGCGAAGTACTTATAACAGATTCGGATAATAATAAAATACGTAGTGAATAGCTACTTTAATGCATTTTCGACTGTTCGTTATTTATCGTCTGTGTCAATTTTTATTATAGACAGTTAATCACGGAAACTACTAGACCGATTATATTCTCTAATTTTACATGTGTTTTAGGAATATCGTATAGATGCTAAAACGCTAACCAAAGGTTGTCTAATTATCCCCACCATAAATGTGATTATGTCATCTCAAAATTTTGCGTGGTAAATGTCATAAATTTTATACAATAATATACTCATACGTCTTGACTTTTTAACCTGAAAATGAGACTTTTTAACTTTCAAACTGCAAAACCGAAAGCTCTGAAATTCGTTCCACGTTACTTTAAATAACCTCAGACGAATTATTTGTAAAATTCAATTCAAAAATTTTGCTTCTTTTACTGCTTACACATGTGAACAGACCTAGGGTTAATTTTATATCGTAAGTACAAAGCAAATCAATGTTTGGGAGGCGGATGTTACAAGGTCGCGCTTTACATACAAAGAAGTGTGATAATCAAAATTCGCTGATGTTACATTTCACTTTTTTCTGATTAGTCTTTTTGAATAATTCAAAATATTTAAATTTACTGTGACAGTTCTAATCATCAGCCTTGCTTTTTTGTTCACCTGCTATGTAAACAGGAAGTTAAAAACTACTTTGGTACTTTTAAGTACAACAATATGAAAAAAAAAAAAATCAAAATACTTTACTATAAAAAAATAAACTTTAATTTGATCGAAAATATACAATTCCAAATACCCACACTCTACAGACACAAAAATTAATTGGTCATTAAATGTACAATTACCCCATTATTATTACTAAGTACACTAGACATAATGTCCAGTTTAACAATGAGGACCCAAAACAGTCCCACATACCACAAGAAATTAACAACTTTTGCCAAAATCCACAACCTTTGCATATGTTTCTTGGCATCTTCGTAGTCTTCGCCTTCCTTTAAAAGATACCTTTTAGCACCGATTATCGCCTGTTTATTAAACTCATAAATCTGAGTCGTTTCGTCTTTATACGAAAAACTGTCAACATCTTCAGGAAGTATATCCGTCTTTAAATCGTAAAATTTATTGTTGATGAACGTCCAATGATTGGTGCTAAAATAAGCCAGAGCTAACATCGCCACGTGGATCTTCCTCTGGATTTTGACCAACCTGCGACACACCCATCAAACAACCCGGAATCAAAACTGTGCACCTACTTACATGGGTTTTTTCCCCGTTAACTTAAGCAACCCATCGATGACTAAAGCCGGAAGGAGATGGTAAAACAGCATCTGGACGAAGTAGTTGTAGTAGCACTTCGTCATTCTCGGATTCGGGTACCATAAGACATTGTTAAAGGGGTTCCTCCACCAGATTTTCTTGTTTATGGAAAGCAATCTTACTAAATTGAGTGATTTGATGTCGTTGTTGCTGCCGTTGTAGAAGGAGGTTGTTAGTCGCTGGTTTGGGTTTCTGGAAATTTTAGTGTAGGGATTGAAGAGGGTTTTTGTTTGGATTTACTTGAATGTGGCTTGTTTCCATGAAGATATGATCATTGCTTTGACGGTCATGTCGACTGGGACACAGTCGGTGATGGTGTTGCCGTCACAATATATTGTTCGAATTATACCTTTTCCGGAACCTACCATGAGACCTATGGGACCGTTGAAGTTGTCGATCCAGCCTGGCATGGGTTCCTGGGCAGTGTGGACAACTACGAAAGAGGTTATTCGTATTACTAGTACAACATAGTACTCACCAATAGATGGGCGGTAGACAACCACCGGTATTTTCCCGTCGCACAAGTCGTACACAACATGCTCACCCAGGGATTTCGCGAACGTATAAGTATTTGGTTGTGGATGTATATATTTTTCCGTAATCACATTCATTGTATGTTTATTCCTCTTTTCAACGATCTCTATAGTCTTCTCCCAGTCGGCAATCGCCGGATGCAACTTCTCTTCAACCACTTTCCGGTCAGTGTTACAATAAGTAGTCGAAACGTGAACAAGAACATCCAAATTCTTCATTTCTAGAGCCAACTTAGCAACCTCTCTGGTCCCCCGGATGTTCATAATAACAGCATCCGTTAAACTATCATCAAAACGCACTGACGCCGCTCCATGAAAAACCACATTCACTTCATCAATCAAGAGTTGACGTTCCTGAAGATTTAACCCCAAATCCAGCTCCCGCACATCGCCAACGACGACCTTAATTTTGTTCAGAGAGTCAGGGTTTGTCGATTTGAGTACGTCGAAGAGCTAAACACGGATTAGAAAAGGGAAACTGTTGAAGGGGCGACTTACTGGTAAATCGATGATGGTTTTGATTCTTTCCTCGGGAGCCACACCCTTTTTTTCTCGCAAGAGTAAGTAGATGGTTTTCAGGTCTGGACACGATCGAAGGAGCTTCTCGACGAGGACTTTCCCGATGAAACCGCTTCCGCCGGTTATGAAGATGGTTTTGTTGCGGTAGAATTCTGGGATTGTGGGTTTTTTCATGGTTTTGGGTTTTTGGGGCGATTTGGGTGCGGGTGTGGTTTGTTACAGACTTTGTCTCATTTGGGAACGTTGGAGCTTAAACGTGGATCGATTTGACCCGTGCAAGGTGTTCTCAGCTGATGAGGTCAATGTTAACACCTTTACATAACATGAAAGTGTAATTAGTTTATTGTTAGAATTTTCGGTCGGTGATAGCAGGTGAAAGGCTGTTGTTACTGGATATAACAGGTTGACTGAAGGTAGTGAACAGGTGCACAGGAGCATGACGTAGGTTCGACAACACACTGTATGACCTTAATAGAACATAAGCCTAAGACTCTTCGCTTCTGGGTATCGAACTACCGACCATAATGTTACGAAATAAACTCATACGCCGCCTATGGGACGTCGAGAGCTTTCTGGTATGTACGGCGATGATGACTAATTGTCGGTGACGGCGGCCGAGCGGCGTTCCATAAGATAGTCTGGAGCGGGTTACCGGAAGTCTCGATTGCGGGGTCCAGAAAAGCCCAGAGCTGCGTTCGCGATTCATCAAGAGGAACGTATAGATTTAAATAGAGGCCACCATCGGGAACGAGGTTTATTCAGTCGAGTCGAGTCCAACGAGTGTCGAGAAAACCCAGTCAAGTTGCGCCGGAATTATTTTGTACTTAATCGCTCTGTAATTAGTCATGTAAATCCGACTTACTAAGAAATAAATTGTTGATTTTTAATACCCGTACAACGTAACACTGGTGTGAGATTTCAAATTAGTAAGTGGTTTTACGACGAATTGCGGGCGGTTTGGACAAGAACTTTGAAGATTGATACTTGTTGAGACTAGAGCTCAAGCTGTAAAAATGGAGGAACAAGTAAGAAATGGATGCAAGGGATGAAAAGATGAATGCAACAAAAGAAGAGATGAACGAAAAAATGGACGCAAGAATGGAAAAGATGGAGGGAAAAATAGACAAGCAAAAAGATGCCATAATCACCAGCCTAAATGAAAAATTCCAAATAGAAGTGGAAGCAAACAAATATGAAATAACAGGAATTAAAGAACAAATGAAGGACGTAGAAACAAATTTGTAGGTTATGCAAAATTTTGGTGACTAGCACTACAGGCGAAGACCATGGACTGTTTGACTCCTCTAACAGTAGTAACAGTATTCTCACATTTTCCAGCTTACGCTCGGGAAGTAAAAACCGACAATTTACAACCCAGAAGTCGAATAAATTCGTCAGAAACGAAACCGTATTCAAACGAAATTAAACCCTACAAAATAGCAAAATAAAACCTAAAGTCGTTCGACTTCCTCTTTTACTTTTTGATCCATCAAGATATTCCAGAGAATCACGAGATTCCAGAAAGTCGAGAGAATCAGGATTCTAGAAAGTCCAGAGGATCCAGATTCCAGAGGTTAAAGAAATTCCAAAGATTCCGGACTTTCTAGAGATTTTGGAGATTCTAGAAATTCTAGATGTTCTAGTGTCCTAGGGATTCTAGGGATGATAGGGATCTATAGGGTTTCTAGGTATTCTAGAGAGGCCAAAAATTTCACAGCTTCTAGAGGTTCTAGAAATTTCAAAGATTCCAAAGATTCAAAAAACTTAAGAGACTCAAGAGATTCAAGAAACTTAACGGATTCAAGAGACTTCAGTAATTTAAGAAATTCAAGAGATTCAAGATATTCCAGAGAATCACGAGATTCCAGAAAGTCGAGAGAATCCGGATTCTAGAAATTCCAGAGATTCCAGAGGTTAAAGAAATGGAGTTTTTAGAGATTTTAAGGATTCCAAGGATCCCGTACATTACAAAGATTCTACAGTTTATAAAGATCCCAAGTATTCCCAAGATTTTAACGATTCTGAAGATTCCACAGATCCCGAAGATAGCGAAGATTCTGAAGATTTTAAATATTCTAAAGATTCCAAAATATCTGAAGAAAGATTCTAAAAATTCTGAATATTCCAGAAATTCAAGCGCGTGAAGATAGTCAAGATATTCAAGAGATTCCAGTGATTTAAGAAATTCAAGAGTTTTAAGATATTTAAGAGATTCCAGATAGTCAAGAGAATCCGAATTCCAGAAATTCCAGAGAATCCAGAGATTTCAGAAGTTAAAGAAATTCTAAAGATTCTAGAGATTCTGTAGTTTCTAAAGATTTTAATTGTTTTAAGCATTCTAAGGATTCGAAAATTCTAAAGTTTATAAAGATTCCAAAAATTTTGAAGACTCCGAACGTTCCGAAGATTTTGAAGATTCTAAATATTTCGGATATTCTAAAAATTCAAAAGTCTGAAGGTTCTCAAAATTTTGAAGATTCAGAAAACTTTTAAAATTTTGGAGATTTTATAGATTATAGAGATTCTAGACATTCTAGATGTTTTAGTGTCCTAGGGATTTTAGGGATGGTAAGGATCTAGGGTTTCTAGGTATTCTAAGGAGGCCAAAGATTTCACAGCTTCTAGAGATTCTAGAAATTTCAGAGATTCCTAAGATTCAAAAAACTTAAGAGACTCAAGAGATTCAAGAAACTTAACGGATTCAAGAGACTTCAGTGATTTAAGAAATTCAAGAGATTCAAGATATTCCAGAGAATCACGAGATTCCAGAAAGTCGAGAGAATCCGGATTCTAGAAATTCCAGAGATTCCAGAGGTTAAAGAAATTCTAAAGATTCTAGAGATTCTGGAGTTTTTAGAGATTTTAAGGATTCCAAGGATTCCGTACATTACAAAGATTCTACAGTTTATAAAGATCCCAAGTATTCCCAAGATTTTAACGATTCTGAAGATTCCACAGATCCCGAAGATAGCGAAGATTCTGAAGATTTTAAATATTCTAAAGATTCCAAAATATCTAAAGAAAGATTCTAAAAATTCTGAATATTCCAGAAATTCAAGCGCGTGAAGATAGTCAAGATATTCAAGAGATTCCAGTGATTTAAGAAATTCAAGAGTTTTAAGATATTTAAGAGATTCCAGATAGTCAAGAGAATCCGAATTCCAGAAATTCCAGAGAATCCAGAGATTTCAGAAGTTAAAGAAATTCTAAAGATTTTAATTGTTTTAAGCATTCTAAGGATTCGAAAATTCTAAAGTTTATAAAGATTCCAAAAATTTTGAAGACTCCGAACGTTCCGAAGATTCTGAAGATTCTAAATATTTCGGATATTCTAAAAATTCAAAAGTCTGAAAGTTCTCAAAATTTTGAAGATTCAGAAAACTTTTAAAATTATGGAGATTTTATAGATTATAGAGATTCTAGACATTCTAGATGTTTTAGTGTCCTAGGGATTTTAGGGATGGTAGGGATTTAGGGTTTCTAGGTATTCTAGAGAGGTCAAAGATTTCACAGCTTCTAGAGATTCTACAAATTTCAGAGATTCCAAAGATTCAAGCGAGTGAAGAGACTCAAGAGATTCAAGAGATTTCGGTGATTTAAGAAATTCCAGAGAATCACGAGATTCCAAAGGTTAAAGAAATTCTAAAGATTCTAGAGATTCTGGAGTTTTTAGAGATTTTAATATTTTAAGGATTCTAAGGATTCCGAACATTACAAAGATTCTACAGTTTATAAAGATCGTAAGTATTTCCAAGGTTTTAACGATTCTGTAGATTCCACAGATCCCGAAGATAGCGAAGATTCTGAAGATTTTAGATATTCTAAAGATTCCAAAATATCTAAAGAAAGATCCTAAAAATTCTGAAGATTCTAGAGATTCTAGAAGTTCCGGAGATTCCAGCAGTTCAAGCGAGTGAAGATACTCAAGAGATTCAAGAGATTCCAGTGATTTAAGAAATTCAAGTGTTTTAAGATATTTCAGAGATTCCAGATAGTCAAGAGAATCCGAATTCCAGAAATTCCAGAGAATCCAGAGATTTCAGAAGTTAAAGAAATTCTAAAGATTCTAGAGATTCTGTAGTTTCTAAAGATTTTAATTGTTTTAAGCATTCTAAGGATTCGAAAATTCTAAAGTTTATAAAAATTCCAAAAATTTTGAAGACTCCGAACGTTCCGAAGATTCTAAAGATTCTAAATATTTCGGATATTCTAAAAATTCAAAAGTCTGAAAATTCTCAAAATTTTGAAGATTCAGAAAACTTTTAAAATTCTGGAGATTTTATAGATTATAGAGATTCTAGACATTCTAGATGTTTTAGTGTCCTAGGGATTTTAGGGATGGTAGGGATCTAGGGTTTCTAGGTATTCTAGGGAGGCCAAAGATTTCACAGCTTCTAGAGATTCTAGAAATTTCAGAGATTCCAAAGATTCAAGCGCGTGAAGAGACTCAAGAGATTCAAGAAACTTTAGAGATTCAAGAGATTTCGGTGATTTAAGAAATTCAAGAGATTCAAGATATTCCAGAGAATCACGAGATTCCAAAGGTTAAAGAAATTCTAAAGATTCTAGAGATTCTGGAGTTTTTAGAGATTTTAATATTTTAAGGATTCTAAGGATTCCGAACATTACAAAGATTCTACAGTTTATAAAGATCCTAAGTATTTCCAAGGTTTTAACGATTCTGTAGATTCCACAGATCCCGAAGATAGCGAAGTTTCTGAAGATTTTAGATATTCTAAAGATTCCAAAATATCTAAAGAAAGATCCTAAAAATTCTGAAGATTCTAGAGATTCTAGAAGTTCCGGAGATTCCAGAAGTTCAAGCGAGTGAAGATACTCAAGAGATTCAAGAGATTCCAGTGATTTAAGAAATTCAAATGTTTTAAGATATTTCAGAGATTCCAGATAGTCAAGAGAATGCGAATTCCAGAAATTCCAGAGAATCCAGAGATTTCAGAAGTTAAAGAAATTCTAAAGATTTTAATTGTTTTAAGCATTCGAAGGATTCGAAAATTCTAAAGTTTATAAAGATTCCAAAAATTTTGAAGACTCCGAACGTTCCGAAGATTCTGAAGATTCTAAATATTTCGGATATTCTAAAAATTCAAAAATCTGAAGGTTCTCAAAATTTTGAAGATTCAGAAAACTTTTAAAATTTTGGAGATTTTATAGATTATAGAGATTCTAGACATTCTAGATGTTTTTTAGTGTCCTAGGGATTTTAGGGATGGTAGGGATCTAGGGTTTCTAGATATTCTAGGGAGGCCAAAGATTTCACAGCTTCTAGAGATTCTAGAAATTTCAGAGATTCCAAAGATTCAAGCGAGTGAAGAGACTCAAGAGATTCAAGAGATTTCGGTGATTTAAGAAATTCAAGAGATGCAAGATATTCCAGAGAATCACGAGATTCCAAAGGTTAAAGAAATTCTAAAGATTCTAGAGATTCTGGAGTTTTTAGAGATTTTAATATTTTAAGGATTCTAAGGATTCCGAACATTACAAAGATTCTACAGTTTATAAAGATCCTAAGTATTTCCAAGGTTTTAACGATTCTGTAGATTCCACAGATCCCGAAGATAGCGAAGATTCTGAAGATTTTAGATATTCTAAAGATTCCAAAATATCTAAAGAAAGATCCTAAAAATTCTGAAGATTCTAGAGATTCTAGAAGTTCCGGAGATTCCAGAAGTTCAAGCGAGTGAAGATACTCAAGAGATTCAAGAGATTCCAGTGATTTAAGAAATTCAAGTGTTTTAAGATATTTCAGAGATTCCAGATAGTTAAGAGAATGCGAATTCCAGAAATTCCAGAGAATCCAGATATTTCGGAAGTTAAAGAAATTCTAAAGATTCTAGAGATTCTGTAGTTTCTAAAGATTTTAATTGTTTTAAGCATCCTAAGGATTCGAAAATTCTAAAGTTTATAAAGATTCCAAAAATTTTGAAGACTCCGAACGTTCCGAAGATTCTGAAGATTCTAAATATATAGGATATTCTAAAAATTCAAAAGTCTGAAGGTTCTCAAAATTTTGAAGATTCAGAAAACTTTTAAAATTTTGGAGAATTTATAGATTATAGAGATTCTAGACATTCTAGACGTTTTAGTGTCCTAGGGATTTTAGAGATGGTAGGGATCTAGGGTTTCTAGGCATTCTAGGGACGCCAAAGATTTCACAGCTTCTAGAGATTCTAGAAATTTCAGAGATTCCAAAGATTCAAGCGAGTGAAGAGACTCAAGAGATTCAAGAAACTTTAGAGATTCAAGAGATTTCGGTGATTTAAGAAATTCAAGAGATTCAAGATATTCCAGAGAATCACGAGATTCCAAAGGTTGAAGAAATTCTAAAGATTCTAGAGATTCTGGAGTTTTTAGAGATTTTAATATTTTAAGGATTTTAATGATTCCGAACATTACAAAGATTCTACAGTTTATAAAGATCCTAAGTATTTCCAAGGTTTTAACGATTCTATAGATTCCACAGATCCCGAAGATAGCGAAGATTCTGAAGATTTTAAATATTCTAAAGATTCCAAAAAATCTAAAGAAAGATCCTAAAAATTCTGAAGATTCTAGAGATTCTAGAAGTTCCGGAGATTCCAAAAGTTCAAGCGAGTAAAGATACTCAAGAGATTCAAGAGATTCCAGTGATTTAAGAAATTCAAGTGTTTTAAGATATTTCAGAGATTCCAGATAGTCAAGAGAATCCGAATTCCAGAAATTCCAGAGAATCCAGAAATTTCAGAAGTTAAAGAAATTCTAAAGATTCTAGAGATTCTGTAGTTTCTAAAGATTTTAATTGTTTTAAGCATTCTAAGGATTCGAAAATTCTAAAGTTTATAAAGATTCCAAAAATTTTGAAGACTCCGAACGTTCCGAAGATTCTGAAGATTCTAAATATTTCGGATATTCTAAAAATTCAAAAGTCTGAAAGTTCTCAAAATTTTGAAGATTCAGAAAACTTTTAAAATTATGGAGATTTTATAGATTATAGAGATTCTAGACATTCTAGATGTTTTAGTGTCCTAGGGATTTTAGGGATGATAGGGATTTAGGGTTTCTAGGTATTCTAGAGAGGTCAAAGATTTCACAGCTTCTAGAGATTCTACAAATTTCAGAGATTCCAAAGATTCAAGCGAGTGAAGAGACTCAAGAGATTCAAGAGATTTCGGTGATTTAAGAAATTCAAGAGATGCAAGATATTCCAGAGAATCACGAGATTCCAAAGGTTAAAGAAATTCTAAAGATTCTAGAGATTCTGGAGTTTTTAGAGATTTTAATATTTTAAGGATTCTAAGGATTCCGAACATTACAAAGATTCTACAGTTTATAAAGATCCTAAGTATTTCCAAGGTTTTAACGATTCTGTAGATTCCACAGATCCCGAAGATAGCGAAGATTCTGAAGATTTTAGATATTCTAAAGATTCCAAAATATCTAAAGAAAGATCCTAAAAATTCTGAAGATTCTAGAGATTCTAGAAGTTCCGGAGATTCCAGAAGTTCAAGCGAGTGAAGATACTCAAGAGATTCCAGTGATTTAAGAAATTCAATTGTTTTAAGATATTTCAGAGATTCCAGATAGTCAAGAGAATGCGAATTCCAGAAATTTCAGAGAATCCAGAGATTTCAGAAGTTAAAGAAATTCTAAAGATTCTAGAGATTCTGTAGTTTCTAAAGATTTTAATTGTTTTAAGCATTCTAAGGATTCGAAAATTCTAAAGTTTATAAGGATTCCAAAAATTTTGAAGACTCCGAACGTTCCGAAGATTCTGAAAATTCTAAATATTTCGGATATTCTAAAAATTCAAAAGTCTGAAGGTTCTCAAAATTTTGAAGATTCAGAAAACTTTTAAAATTTTGGAGATTTTATAGATTATAGAGATTCTAGACATTCTAGATGTTTTAGTGTCCTAGGGATTTTAGGGATGGTAGGGATCTAGTGTTTCTAGGTATTCTAGGGAGGCCAAAGATTTCACAGCTTCTAGAGATTCTAGAAATTTCAGAGATTCCAAAGATTCAAGCGAGTGAAGAGACTCAAGAGATTCAAGAAACTTTAGAGATTCAAGAAATTTCGGTGATTTAAGAAATTCAAGAGATTCAAGATATTCCAGAGAATCACGAGATTCTAAAGGTTAAAGAAATTCTAAAGATTCTAGAGATTCTGGAGTTTTTAGAGATTTTAATATTTTAAGGATTTTAATGATTCCGAACATTACAAAGATTCTACAGTTTATAAAGATCCTAAGTATTTCCAAGGTTTTAACGATTCTGTAGATGCCACAGATCCCGAAGATAGCGAAGTTTCTGAAGATTTTAGATATTCTAAAGATTCCAAAATATCTAAAGAAAGATCCTAAAAATTCTGAAGATTCTAGAGATTCTAGAAGTTCCGGAGATTCCAGAAGTTCAAGCGAGTGAAGATACTCAAGAGATTCAAGAGATTCCAGTGATTTAAGAAATTCAAGTGTTTTAAGATATTTCAGAGATTCCAGATAGTCAAGAGAATCCGAATTCCAGAAATTCCAGAGAATCCAGAGATTTCAGAAGTTAAAGAAATTCTAAAGATTCTAGAGATTCTGTAGTTTCTAAAGATTTTAATTGTTTTAAGCATTATAAGGATTCGAAAATTCTAAAGTTTATAAAGATTCCAAAAATTTTGAAGACTCCGAATGTTCCGAAGATTCTGAAGATTCTACATATTTCGGATATTCTAAAAATTCAAAAATCTGAAGGTTCTCAAAATTTTGAAGATTCAGAAAACTTTTAAAATTTTGGAGATTTTATAGATTATAGAGATTCTAGACATTCTAGATGTTTTAGTGTCCTAGGGATTTTAGGGATGGTAGGGATCTAGGGTTTCTAGGTATTCTAGGGTGGCCAAAGATTTCACAGCTTCTAGAGATTCTAGAAATTTCAGAGATTCCTAAGATTCAAAAAACTTAAGAGACTCAAGAGATTCAAGAAACTTAACGGATTCAAGAGACTTCAGTGATTTAAGAAATTCAAGAGATTCAAGATATTCCAGAGAATCACGAGATTCCAGAAAGTCGAGAGAATCCGGATTCTAGAAATTCCAGAGATTCCAGAGGTTAAAGAAATTCTAAAGATTCTAGAGATTCTGGAGTTTTTAGAGATTTTAAGGATTCCAAGGATTCCGTACATTACAAAGATTCTACAGTTTATAAAGATCCCAAGTATTCCCAAGATTTTAACGATTCTGAAGATTCCACAGATCCCGAAGATAGCGAAGATTCTGAAGATTTTAAATATTCTAAAGATTCCAAAATATCTAAAGAAAGATTCTAAAAATTCTGAATATTCCAGAAATTCAAGCGCGTGAAGATAGTCAAGATATTCAAGAGATTCCAGTGATTTAAGAAATTCAAGTGTTTTAAGATATTTCAGAGATTCCAGATAGTCAACAGAATCCGAATTCCAGAAATTCCAGAGAATCCAGAGATTTCAGAAGTTAAAGAAATTCTAAAGATTCTAGAGATTCTGTAGTTTCTAAAGATTTTAATTGTTTTAAGCATTCTAAGGATTCGAAAATTTTAAAGTTTATAAAGATTCCAAAAATTTTGAAGACTCCGAATGTTCCGAAGATTCTGAAGATTCTACATATTTCGGATATTCTAAAAATTCAAAAATCTGAAGGTTCTCAAAATTTTGAAGATTCAGAAAACTTTTAAAATTTTGGAGATTTTATAGATTATAGAGATTCTAGACATTCTAGATGTTTTAGTGTCCTAGGGATTTTAGGGATGGTAGGGATCTAGGGTTTCTAGGTATTCTAGTGTGGCCAAAGATTTCACAGCTTCTAGAGATTCTAGAAATTTCAGAGATTCCTAAGATTCAAAAAACTTAAGAGACTCAAGAGATTCAAGAAACTTAACGGATTCAAGAGACTTCAGTGATTTAAGAAATTCAAGAGATTCAAGATATTCCAGAGAATCACGAGATTCCAGAAAGTCGAGAGAATCCGGATTCTAGAAATTCCAGAGATTCCAGAGGTTAAAGAAATTCTAAAGATTCTAGAGATTCTGGAGTTTTTAGAGATTAAGGATTCCAAGGATTCCGTACATTACAAAGATTCTACAGTTTATAAAGATCCCAAGTATTCCCAAGATTTTAACGATTCTGAAGATTCCACAGATCCCGAAGATAGCGAAGATTCTGAAGATTTTAAATATTCTAAAGATTCCAAAATATCTAAAGAAAGATTCGAAAAATTCTGAATATTCCAGAAATTCAAGCGCGTGAAGATAGTCAAGATATTCAAGAGATTCCAGTGATTTAAGAAATTCAAGTGTTTTAAGACATTTCAGAGATTCCAGATAGTCAACAGAATCCGAATTCCAGAAATTCCAGAGAATCCAGAGATTTTAGAAGTTAAAGAAATTCTAAAGATTCTAGAGATTCTGTAGTTCCTAAAGATTTTAATTGTTTTAAGCATTCTAAGGATTCGAAAATTCTAAGGTTTATAAAGATTCCAAAAATTTTGAAGACTCCGAACGTTCCGAAGATTCTGAAGATTCTAAATATTTCGGATATTCTAAAAATTCAAAAGTCTCAAAGTTCTCAAAATTTTGAAGATTCAGAAAACTTTTAAAATTTTCGAGATTTTATAGATTATAGAGATTCTAGACATTCTAGATGTTTTAGTGTCCTAGGGATTTTAGGGATGGTAGGGATCTAGGGTTTCTAGGTATTCTAGAGAGGCCAAAGATTTCACAGCTTCTAGAGATTCTAGAAATTTCAGAGATTCCAAAGATTCAAGCGAGTGAAGAGACTCAAGAGATTCAAGAAACTTTAGAGATTCAAGAGATTTCGGTGATTTAAGAAATTCAAGAGATTCAAGATATTCCAGAGAATCACGAGATTCCAAAGGTTAAAGAAATTCTAAAGATTCTAGAGATTCTGGAGTTTTTAGAGATTTTAATATTTTAAGGATTCTAAGGATTCCGAACATTACAAAGATTCTACAGTTTATAAAGATCCTAAGTATTTCCAAGGTTTTAACGATTCTGTAGATTCCACAGATCCCGAAGATAGCGAAGATTCTGAAGATTCTAGAGATTCTAGAAGTTCCGGAGATTCCAGAAGTTCAAGCGAGTGAAGATACTCAAGAAATTCAAGAGATTCCAGTGATTTAAGAAATTCAAGTGTTTTAAGATATTTCAGAGATTCCAGATAGTCAAGAGAATGCGAATTCCAGAAATTCCAGAGAATCCAGAGATTTCAGAAGTTAAAGAAATTCTAAAGATTCTGGAGATTCTGTAGTTTCTCATACAGTGACAACGTTCCTGTTGTATACAATAAAATATATATATTTATAGAAATTCGAATGAAAGTAATTGCGATTGGCGATTTTTATGATGTACGATTCTGCGCATGTTGTTCGCAATATCTGTCAAGCACAATGATATTTGCAATTTGCGAATATGCGAATTTTGTTCTTACTTTCGGGGATTAGAGGTCGAGTTTGATTATCTGTTTGAATGCAGATTAGGACATGCGTGTTAAGTAATTCAGATTTGCAAATTTGCGAATTGTGTTATGTTATGGGGATTTGTTATTCGTTTTTTTGTTACGATTTTCTGGTGAATGAATTTAGTGACGGCTCGTCACAATACGTCGCCCCGGTACGACGCCTATAGGTTTTTCAAAGTATTCATTTTAGAATGAAATGATGTTGCAAAAATCCTCATATTAGCTATAAACAAAATACAAAGTATGTTCGAGAGCCCATCATCGAGAAATAAAAACACCACCTGGGATATCACATATTCAACAGTCAAAGAATTCAAAAATATCTTTAGCAAAACTAGTTATATATTGCGCTTTTAATGAATTCGGTTACAACTGTTTTGACTGCATTGTTTTATTTTAATGCAGGTCAAGAGTTTGCATTAACCTTTATGTTTGCATATTTTACATTTGGCAAACAGTCTGATACTTATTTAACAAGCTTCCTTAGTACCTACACTTAGTTGTGAATACACAGAACTAATAGGTACATTTTTTGAAAAATTCAAAACGATGGTTGGAATACCCACAATTCCTGAATTCTACCGCAATAAAACGATCTTCATAACCGGTGGAAGTGGTTTCATCGGAAAAGTCCTCGTCGAGAAGCTCCTTCGATCGTGTTCAGACCTGAAGACCATCTACTTACTCTTGAGAGAAAAAAAGGGTCGAGCTCCTGAAGACAGAATCAAAACCATCACCGATTTACCAGTAAGTCGCTCTAGTCATCAGTTTTCCATTTTTAATCCGTGTTTAGCTCTTCGACGTACTCAAATCGAAAAACCCCGATTCTCTGAACAAAATTAAGATCGTCGTTGGCGATGTGCGGGAGCTAGATTTGGGGTTAGATCTTCAGGAACGACAAATGTTGATCGATCAAGTGAATGTTGTTTTTCATGGAGCGGCGTCTGTGCGTTTCGACGATAGTTTAACTGATGCAGTCATCATGAACACGAGAGGGACTAGGGAGGTTGCTAAATTGGTACTAGAGATGAAGAATTTGGATGTTTTTGTTCATATTTCGACGACTTATTGCAACAGCGATCGAAAGGTGGTCGAAGAAAGATTGTATCCTGCTGTTGCCGAATGGGAGAAGACTATAGAAATTGCGGAAAACATAGATAGACATACTTTGAACGTATTGACCGAAAAGTATATACATCCGAAACCTAATACTTATACTTTCGCGAAGTCTTTGGGCGAGCACGTAGTCTACGATATGTGTAATGGAAGAATACCTCTTGTTGTTTATCGACCTTCTATTGGTAAGTATAAATTGGTCATATAAACTAACTTGATAAAACTTGATTTATTACATTAATGAACACTATTTAACTTGTTTTGTCTAATGACAGATTCGTTCTGAGTCTATGATTCTGAGCTAACCCATGTGTCAAACAAACATGTTCATGACGAATGTCGTATTCTAAAGGAACTCGAAACGTTTTTCGAAAAAAGTGGGAACGCACATCGGTTTATCTATCTGTTTGAGTAAATCCATTGTATGAAAATTTTTCGATTAGGTTTCACTTTTACGTGATTATCAATTTTTTATCATGAATATTCTGTACAAATATTAAGTATTATCATGTCATCGTTATTATCCACTAACCTTTTAACACTAGCTTACCCTCGAGAAATATACTAACCGACATTGAAAACCGAACACCAAGAACGAGTTGGAATTTTGTAATGATTTTAACACCACATATTTACAGAGGGTCGGTGACCAATCGATGAAAATTTCAAGTTAAAAAATCAAAGAAGAACCAAGTTTTTAGTAATAATGTCTTTGACCACCTCTAAGACGTATGCACTCATTGACTCGTCTTGGCATGGATCTGATAAGATGATCTTTATCCGGCTGAGGTACCGCATCCCATGCGACCTGTACCTCATGTCGTAAAGCTTCTGGGGTCTGTAGAGGATGCATTAACTTTGTGAGCTTTTTACCCATTAAATTCCATACATGTTAAATGGGTGAAAGGTCAGGTGAACGGGGTGGCCATGGCAAAATATTGACTCAAATTGATTTAAACTAAAACGTGCAACATGAGGACGGGCTTTATCCTGTTGAAAAAGGGGGTTGGGAGGGTCTGAAGATATGGCAAAAGATGGGGTTCTGCAATCTCGTGGATGAAACGATGAGCATTCATGTTGCCTCTAACAAAGACTAGAGGTGACCTGCTTCCATACGCCATAGCGCCCCATACCATTATCCCCACAGTGCGATGCACATGTTTTTCCATTGCAAATTGTAAATTGCCCCGTTCTCCTCTTCGTCTTCTCAGCCTTACCCGACTGTCATGCATTGTCAAACACAACCAGGATTCATCACTGAAGACGATGTTGTTCCGAAAGTTGTCGTTCTCTGCACTAGAGCAGCCGGTCACAGCGGTGTGCAACCGTGAGCGGAAGCACATAATGAGGACGATACAAGAGAAGTCCAAAGGACCGTATTCTCCTGGAAATCGTTCGTACTGTGACTAGTCGTCCTGTCTCAGCCAACCATTATGTCCAATTGATCTGGAAGTTGCAAGACGTTCTCTTAAAGCTAAAAGTTGAAGATGGCGGTCTTGACGATGTGTTGTTTGCTGTCGACCACCTGTGCCTCTGGAACATCATTGTCGACCTTCCTCTGTCCATGCCCACCAACATTCTGAAAATGTGCTTGCGCTCCTCTGCATTATGGCCCTAATTTCCGGGAACGATTTTCCAGCTTCTCGCAAGCCCACAATTCTTCCTCTATCAACCTCGCTAAGTTGACTGAAATTACGACGTCTACGTGCAGGCGGCATCTTGCCAGAATAATACAGAACCACCAACACCAAATTCGATGACAGTGACAATAATAGCCATACAAGAGCTGATGTTTTCTTCCATGGTTTGAACAAAAAAGATTATGGTACCGACAAACTGTCCTACCGACACGACCCAAATTCTCATCATTTCTTGTACTACTGATATCTAACTTATATACGAAGTTTGGTAAAAAAATTCCAACTCGTTCTTGGTGTTCGGTTTTCAATGTCGGTTAGTATAAAAATCGCAGAACTGATCTTAATTATATATCTGTTAACAGTTATCCCCACAGTCCTTGAACCCATCACAGGTTGGATCGACAATTTCAATGGTCCCATGGGTGTTTTGGTAGGGTATGGGAAAGGCTTAGTGCGCATCATGTATTCTGATCCTAACAATATTATGGACTGTATGCCAGTTGACAGTACAGTGAAGGCGATCATAATATCGTCCTGGAAACAAGCCACATACAAGTATATTTTGTCCATCTTACTTCATACAACTTATAAATCTGTTTCCAGAGACACGAACCAAAAACTCACCGTATCATTCTATAACAGTAGTAATAACGGCATGAAAAACGTAAATGCAGAAACCCTTGTCGATATTAGCAGGAAAATATGGAACGAATGCCCCTTCGATAACGTTTTGTGGTACCCCAACACGAAAATCACCAAGTGTTACTACAATTATTTTTTTCAAATGATCATTTATCAACTTGTCCCGGCTTTGCTAGTCGACGGTATACTTAAACTAATGGGCGAACGGCCGATGTAAGTTTCATATTTGCACCAACATAAAATTTTGGAACGGTGATTTTTAAAATTTTTTGTTTCTCTCAGGCTGACTAAAATTCAGAGGAAGATTCACACCGCGACCATAACCCTAGCTTACTTCACACACAATAATTGGACGTTTGTAAACGACAAATTCTATAATTTGAAGTGCGAGTTGTTGCCTACAGATGTCGACAGTTTTTCCTACAATTGGGAGGATACAATTGTTTATACATATTTCCTTAATTCTGTTGCAGGTACTAAAAAGTATCTTTTAAAAGAAAGTGATGATGTCAACAAGGCGAAGAAACACTTGCTGAAGATGTGGGTGTTGGCGAAAATTGTCAACTTCTTGTGGTATTTGGGGCTGTTTTGGCTCGTATTTTTTAAAATCGGGGTTGGTGATTTTGTATTTTACAAGTGATTAAAGTTGCTGAAGTTGTTTTTTTTCTTCGTGTTAAGTAAAGTTTTAAAGTAAATTTAAGAACCATAAAGTGATATTAAAGTGTTGATTTTAGTTTAAGTAATAACAGAGTACAACGAATATCAACCAAATCCCGGTCTTATTATTCACAGAAATGCAAAATGCAATTCACAGAAAAATACATCTCAAATTTCAATGAAATCAAAGTAAACGTTCTGAATTAATGCAAATATTTGAACATCACAAATTTAATAAAAAATAAAGCAAAATCTGAATTAAAGTAACTGGATGCAAATACACAAAGTTATTACGGGCGTGTGGCGTCAAATTTAAAATTATGGCAGTTAACAAGAGCACAACAAAAATACCCATAGAAGCGTTCTAGCACAAGCGGAGTTTGGGGCTAACGGTCGGGGCTGTTCTCCCCCCACGACGGTGATTCTGTCTATCGCAAGCCTACCGCAAAGTATCTCTCTAGTACGGACGTGCCGTTGGGTTTAGCCCGACTAGGAACCGCGCACTCCATTTCTGCCACGTTTTCTGTGTTATTTAACCTCAATTTCATTTTAAATGTTTAAATTCACCATACACTTTTGTGAAATTTTAAACAACAATAATTCTTACTTGAGATTAAAATTGGACATCAGATAATATATATGCTGGAAACAATCATCAACAAAATATTTACATAAAAAAAACTAGCAAAGATTTATAGCAACAAAAGATCCGGTGTGAAATAAACTTGTGCAAATAAAAATATTATGTGAGATTAAAACTACACAGCGTGAAATTTACGTTCAATTAAAATTATACAACAAAGAAAATTACTGAAGTTAAAATTGTGAAATAGAGAGATATTGTATGAGGTGAAAATTGCAAAGCTATTAAATTTACATGAGATTAATACTTGCCACGCTTTATCAACGATTCGAACAATGAGTTTACACTATGTTAAATTATGTCTTGATGTACGTGATTGGTTACTTAAAAACAATTTACTTTTAGAGTTGTGGTGACCAAATTTAAATCAAAGTTTTCGGGCTGAAATTAATTAACAGCGGCGCGAAATCACATTTGAATAATTTGAATTTGAAAAAGAAAAACAAAAGAATTTAAATCATAAATCGTTAAACATAGGCAAACAGGTGCACGTTAACGCTTGCAGGGTAGTCGGACAATAGCGCTAAGGGATTTTTAGTTAGAGGGTTGGTAGAGACAGAAGCTGCATGGCGGAGCGTCAGTCTGAATGTGTTTTTGTGAGTGTAAACACGTGGTAAGAGCTAGTTTAAATTAACTGGTTTGGTAGTTAATAAAAGGGAGGAAGCCTTTGTTTAACTACATTCAGTCGTAACTTTCATAATGAGACAGTTTTCCCCAACCCGCGCGGTTAATCCTTGCGGCCTTTTAATCGAAAATTGCGGACTTCCGTTCAACGCGAAACACGTGCTGTAAATTTGTTATATTGTTTGAAAATTCACCAATCAAGTTAGGTTTTCTTATTCGTCAGCTCGTGCTAAAGCAATTTAACAATCAGGATTATTTAAATAAACCACGTGCTAGAAGATTTCATGAAATTCACTTAGTCAGGAAAACACCTTGTTGTTTAATTACGAATAGGTTTCTGGATGCATATACGTAAGTGTTACATTATAACACTTCTAAATTCTTCACACAAGATTGCTAATAGTTCATTTTCGGCAGCTAAACGCGTTCATTATACTGCGAACTGGCGGGGGTAAAATAAATCTTCCCTTAGGTGGTTATCATCGTTATTATCATCGTTATCATGATCACATCACTGGGGCATGCCCTCGCAACGCTACAGATTGATTAATGCATCGAGGCCCGCCCGCACAACGCTACATATTGATTACTTCATCGAGGTTCGTCCTCGCAACGCTAGACATTAATAACATCAACGAGGCTTATTCCTCCCACCGCTAAAATATACATCACCGAGCCGCTTTTTCCCTCGGAGCGATGATTGGATATTTTTGTGTTTGTTTATTATGTATTTTGTTGGGGTAACCAGTTCGTGGTATTTTAAACTCTCAAAGCAAATTGTTTTTTTTTTAAGTAACCAATCGCTTAGATCATGACATAATTTGACATAATGTAAACTCTTGTTTGAATCGTTGATAAAGTACGGCAAATAATAATCTCATGTAAATTTTGTTAACTCTGCAAATTTTCACCTCATACAATACTTCTTTAATCTCACAATTTTAACCTCAGTAATTTTCAATTGTTGTATAATTTTAATTGAATGTAAATTTCATGCTCTACAGTTTTAACCTCAGATAATATTTTTATTTGCACAAGTTTATTTCACACCAGATCTTTTGTTTTTATAAATGTTTGCGAAGTTTTGTTTTGTAAATATTTTGTTGATGAATGTTTCCATCGTATAAATTATCTGATGACAAATTTTAATCTCATATAAGAATTATTTGTTGTTTAAAATTTCACAAGATTGTATGACGAATTTAAATATTGTTTATTGCTCTTTGAAACTTTAACATTTGTTCAGTTGTTGTTAATATCAGAGTTATATGAGATTGAACATTTAAAAATGGAATTGAGGTTAAATAACACAGAAAACGTGGCATAAGTGAAGTGCGGTTCCTAGTCGGACTGGCGAGATTTAACGTGTCACCTGTACAAGTCCACAGGTTTGGATAGATTCAGGGGCGGCCGCCGATGTTGTAACATTCTCGGCTTCGTGCTAGCCTAGATTCATCTACGGGTCTGGCGACCGTAATGGCCTAGTTTCGCACAGCATGATCGTAATGGAGGTGCGTGCGGGTAGGCTTTGCGATAGATAGAATCACCGTCATGGGGGGAGAACAGCCGCAAACCGGTAGCCCCAAACTCCGCTTGTGCTAGCACGCCCCAGGTGTACTTTTGTTGTGCTCCTGTTAACTGCCGTAACCTTAAAATCTGCTGCTACACGCCCGTAATAACTTGTGTATTTGCATCCAGTTACTTAATTCAGATTTTGCTTTATTTTTATTAAATTTGTGATATTCAAATATTTGCATTGATTGCAAACAGATGTATAGGATTTTGCGTTTGTTCGTTTTTCATATGTGTATGTCTGTCAATTCGCGAGTGTTTTTTTTTTCATATGTCTTAAGATGTTTGAAATGTAATATATCTGTGAATATAGCCCTAGGGGGTTTTTGGAGATGAAGAACGATGGCGATTGGTCCCTGCTGGACGGCCAGAAGGGCACGGCCGAGTCAGTTCTTCGCTTCTTTTCCCCCTAGGGAGGGGAGAGCATCTCCTCCCAAATTTTTGTCTATTATTTCTTGGGCTCTCGACTCACACGCAGTGTATGCACTTGTATGAAAGAACGTCTTCCCGCCATTTAAAAAAAAAACACAACGTAGATTCCCATTAGACGATCACAGCCAAGGCTAAATTTTGAATTTTTTGAATTTTTCGCGGGCTTTTCAAACTTTTTCAAGGTCAATTTAAAGGCGGGAAGTTTGGGTTATCACAGAGTTTATAATACCGTGAATAGGTTACTCCAACAAACCACATAATAAATAAATGGTCTCAGTGGTGTAATGATGATAACGATGATAACTGCCTAAGAGAAGAAATTATTTTGACCCTCCGCCGTTTCAATTTCGTTAATTTAACTGGTGTAAATGAACTATTAGCAATCAGAAACCTCATTCATAACTTGTAAACAAAGGTTGCTATTCTGACTAAGTGAATTTCATGAAATCTCCTAGTAAATGTCTGTCTAAGCAAATCTAATGTCTGTTAAATTGTGTTAGAACCAGTTAACGATTAGAATCCTGTCATAATCGGTGAATTTACAAACAATAAAACAAATTTACAGCAGGTGTACGCAGAATTAGCTGCGCATATTGCGGAAAACTGTGACGTCATCTTTACGATTAATTTTCGTTAAACAAAGGCTTTCTCCGTTTTATTAACTACCAAATCAACTAGTCTGCACCCACTACACCGAACCAAAAAATAGTGATCACGCTGTCATCATGTTCTCGCCATGCCGCTTCTAAACATTCCAACTGCCCTTAAGCGCTAACGTGCACATGGTTGCCTATGTTTAACGATTTTTGAATGAATTTTTTTCTCAAATTCAAATTGTTTAAATATGATTTCGCGCCGCTGTTAATTAATTTGAAAATTTGATTCAAATTCGGTCACCACATTATTTTATCTAAAAGGGGGTTGGGTGGTTAGACAAATATATTTTGATGCTTGCGATGACCTTGAAACGTCTGCAAGATTTCAAAGCTTTGAAGACAATGATCAAGTATAATTTTCTGAAGCCGAGGAATGGTGACTATGTGTTAAAACTCTCTATTGGTACCTGATATGGGAACGTCGCCGCAAATTTTCGACAGAACTTCCATCTCGGTCATTAGTGAAAATTTAAAATATGATGCTACATCAATACTAACTAGTTGTATTCTGGTTCAAACCTTGTATCGGTACGACTGAAGACCTAATATCACCTTGATATGATCTCGCCCGCGGAATCGAAAAGGGTCGAATCGAATGGCATTGGTCATCACCTTGACACCTAAGGACCTTAGCAAATACAAACACGTTGATATTTGTACAATTTAATCACTTGTAAAATACAAAATCACTAACCCCCATTTTAAAAAATACAAGCCAAAACAGCCCCAAATACCACAAGAAGTTGACAATTTTCGCCAACACCCACATCTTCAGCAAGTGTTTCTTCGCCTTGTCGACATCACCACTTTCTTTTAAAAGATACTTTTTACCACCTACAAGACAGTTAAAGATATAAGAATCAATCGTTGTATCCTCCTCCTCGAAGGAAAAATTGTCGACATCTGCAGGCAGCAACTCGTATTTCAAATGATAAAATTTGTCGTTAACAAAGGTCCAGTTATTGTGTGTGAAGTAAGCTAAGGCTATAGTCGCAGTGTGGATCTTCCTCTGAAGTTTAGTCAGCCTGCGAGAAACAGAAAGCACCGATCTAAAATTTTATGTTGGTGCAAATACCGCTCACGAAACTTACATCGGTCGTTCGCCTATTAGTTTAAGCACACCGTCGACTAGCAAAGCCGGAACAAGTTGATAAATGATCATTTGAAAAAAATAATTGTAGTAGCACTTGGTGATTTTGGGATCGGGGTACCATAAAACGTTGTCAAAGGGGAATTCGTTCCATATTTTATTTCCCATATTCAATATGGTTTCTACATTTATGTTTTTCACACCGTTGTTACTACCGTTGTAGAATGAAGCGGTGAGTTTTTGATTCGCGTCTCTGGAAATTGATTTATAAGTTCTTTGTAAGAAGACAGACAAAATATACTTGTATGTGGCTTGTTTCCACGATGATATTATGATAGCTTTCACCGTAATATCAACTGGCAGAGAGTCTACAATGTTGTTAGGATCGGAATAAATGATACGCATTAAGCCTTTCCCACACCCTACCATAAAACCCACGAGACCATTGAAATTGTCGACCCAACCTGTGATGGGTTCACTGGCGCTGGGGATAACTGTTAACAGATAGTTGCCCATAATTAAAAAAAATTGTGAGTAACCAATTTGTACTTACTAACAGAAGGTCGATAAACAACAAGAGGTATTCCTCCATTACACATATCGTAGACTACCTGCTCGGCCAAACACTTCGCAAAAGTATAAGTATTTGGTTGCGGATGTATATACTTTTCGGTCAATACGTTCAAAGTATGTCTATCTATGTTTTCCGCTATTTCTATAGTCTTCTCCCATTCGACAACAGCAGGATACAATCTTTCTTCGACCACCTTTCGATCGCTGTTGCAATAAGTCGTCGAAATATGAACAAAAACGTCCAAATTCTTCATCTCTAGTACCAATTTAGCAACCTCCCTAGTCCCCCTAGTGTTCATGATGACAGCATCAGTTAAACTATCGTCGAAACGAACAGACGCCGCTACATGAAAAACGACATTCACTTCATCGATCAACACTTGTCGTTCCTGAAGATTTAACCCCAAATCCAGCTCCCGCACATCGCCAACGACGATCTTAATTTTGTTTAGAGAGTCGGGGTTTTTCGATTTGAGTACGTCGAAGAGCTAAACACGGATTAAAAATGGAAAATTGATGAAGAGAGCGACTTACTGGTAAATCGGTGATGGTTTTGATTCTTTTTTCGGGAGCCTGACCCTTTTTTTCTCTCAAGAGTAAATAGATCGTCTTCAGGTCTGGACACGATCGAAGGAGCTTTTCGACGAGGACTTTTCCAATGAAACCACTTCCACCCGTTATGAAGATGGTTTTGTTGCGGTAGAATTCTGGAATTGTAGGTAGTTCAACCATTGTTTTGAATTTTTCAAAAAATGTGACAGTTGTTTTGTGTAGTCACAAACAGGTATATTACAGCAAGAATTTCTTTTCGTTGTCGAAGTTCAGTTGTGAAATAACTGCAAATACGGTTTGTTATGTCAAAAAACTACAAAAAGGTTAATGTAAAATTTGACCCACACTAAATCAAAATAGTTGCAATTTAAATTAAGTTTGTCGCTAAGTTTTGGTTTTTGCAAAATAGTGGTATAACAATAAAACTAATTTAAGGAAAATTGTGAAGTAACTACCAGAGTGTTTGCAAACGGTAAAATGTGCATACACAAAGGTTAATGCAAACTCTTGACCTGCATTGAATTAAAACAATGTAATCAAAACAATTGCAACGGATATCATTGTAGGTATTTCAGATATCGTTTTGAACTTTTCCGGAAATTGATCAGTTCCTGTTCTGTGTTCGCAAATAAGTGTAGGTACTAAGGAAGTTTTTTATCCACCGTCGAAGATCAACTGTCAAATAAGTACGAGACGGTTTCCTAACGGTAAACGTCCGGATTTTTATTAGACAGACAATCTCCGAAAGTACTGGGCCGTAACTAGGGGGAGGCTAGAGGATGCTGAATTTTCCCTAGATCTAGACAAGTTATAATTAACCAAATGCGAATTACAACATCGAAAATCAAAATAAAGTGTTGTAGGACATACCGTTCCCCAAAACACACGTGATCTACTTAAACGCATTTATAATTTATGTAAATCTCTGTACAAATGTAAATACGTCCTATCTAGAATTTTCTAAACTCTTTCTTTACCGGCTTACACCTCTCCAAAACCCATCCTACCTGTCGACAATTCAAACACCCTTCCTTCTTCTTCTTCTTCGAGCTTTCAAGCCGTAAGCATTTTTTTTTTTTTTTTGGTGGAGGGAAAATGTCTACGCAGACCACCGTAATGGTTCTTGGCCTCATCTGCGGCCTACGATGGTACTGGGGGAATGGTTACCGCCCTAAAACCCCTCCTTTTTCTGCTCGGATACCAGGACATTGTCCCTTACACCCATGAGCTATTGATTGCCTAGGAGTTGGCTCCCATCATCGGCTCTTCCTCGCGGTTCCTGCGGCCGGTGGAGATCTGAAGATGTGCAACACCTTGGAGGCGATGCGGCCGGGAAGTTGGGAACGCTGGGAAAGGCCGGTCGATGGAGACGGCAGGTGGTGTTACTTGCCGATTTGGTCTTCAAGCAGCGCCCTACGGGGCCGCTTGATGCTGGGGGGGGGGGCTTCCTCGTCGAACTCGTAGTCGACGGCTTCTCGCACCAGGGGGTTGGGGTGTTCTTCAGCTTTCCTGAAGGATCGGAGGGCGATTTCGTGCAGGAACTCCTTCAGCGGCGGGAGGTTGGCCTCTAGGAGCAGTTGGGCGTTTCTGACGAACCATGGGGCTTGGAAAACCTGTCGGAGGGTTTTCGTCTGGATGACTTCCAGACGATGAAACTGGGTTTTGGACGGTTGGTAGCTCCAGGCCACTGAAGCATAGGACATGGTGGGGCGAATAATGGTGCGATACGCAACAACTTGTTCCTGATCGACATCTTATACTGCGCCTACCGATCAGCGCAGACAATGAACCCTTTATCTTGTTCGTATTGGCTACGATGTAGTCAATATGAGGGATAAAGGACAGCCGTTTGTCGACGATGACACCTAGGTATCTTGCTTGGCTCCGCCAAGGGATGACCCGGTTAAACATCGTGACATTTCCTGCTGGCCCAATACGTCTTTTCGAGATAAGAAGCGCAGTGCTCTTTTCTAGATTGACTGTAATGAGCCATCGTTTGCACCACTCCTCCAGCGCCTCCACGGCCTCCCGTAACTAGGAGGTTACGAGGTGCGGCATTTTGGAGCGTGCCAGGATAGCCGTGTCGTCGGCGTAGATGGCCTCCGGTCGTCCTGTTCTCCAGTGGTATCGCGGGCCGTTTGAATGGCCGCACAGGGCGTCGAACTGAGGTCGCGTCGATCGAGGCCCGGATACGATTCTCGTAGTCCAGGGTTGCTCTTTCGACTAGCTCGCTGTCCTGGAAATTCGTTACGGACGCCCACACCGGGACACCGCCAAGGCCACGCCCGCTACCACCGTCGAGACTACCCCCGTCGTCGACGAGATCCCTGCCGAGCCCCGGCCCGAGCCCCAGACCCAGACCGTGGAGGAGACCATGGAGACGGAGATTCCCGTGGAGCCACCACGTCCTCCAACTACCCCGAAAAGCAGGATTCCACCCATAATCCTGCGGGACGGCCAGAGATGGTCAGAAGTTTCTCGCCGGATGACGGATAACTCCATCCGGTACTCTAAGACGAAGTCCACCCCGGAAGAGGCGCGGATTCAGCAGATCGAGGTGAGCGACATCAGAAGGCTTGTAAGACTTCTGGACTGTCTGAAGGTGCCATATCACACCTTCACGCTCCCGGAGGAGAAAACCCTCCGCGTCGTCATCCGTGGCATCGCCGTAGGCATTGCCAGCCAGGATGTGCTGGAAGAGCTGGAGTCTCTGGGTTTCCAACCAATCCAGGTTAGTCGGATGAACCGAAACGACCGCCCGATGGCTCTCGTCCTCGCCGAGATACACATGGCCAAGAAGGCCGAGATCTTCGAGGTAAAGACACTCGGCCTCTCCGTCAAGGTGGAGAAGTCCCACAAGAGGAAGGACGCGGTCCAATGCCACCGCTGCCAGCGATTCCACCACTCCCAGCGTCACTGCAGGGCCGAACACCGCCGTGTCAAATGTGGCGCTGATCACCAGACCAGCGACTGCGAGAAGCAGCGCAGGAGGCCTGCCAAATGCGCTAATTGTAGCGGGCCACTTCCAAGAAGCCTTCCATATCGTCGAAGATGTCCCCCCCAAGGCCATCCCCAAACCCAAAGCCGCTCCCGTCCCCAAGAAGGTCGTCCTCACGGCTCGCCAGCAGGCCAACCTCCAGCTCCAAAAAACCCAACTGATGACCGCCATCGCCGCCGCCAAGGACTCGCAATCCATGGCGGAGAAAATTACGGCATTCCTCCTTTTCAAAAATTAGATGGGTAGTAGTACACCACTGATTGTTAATTCCTTGCAGATAGCCTTCTGGAATGCCAATTAACTCCGGAGCGGGCGTTTTGAACTCGACGAGTTCATGGAAGACCACCAGCTCGATGTCATCCTCGTCAACGAGACGAACCTTCTGTGGAATTCCCGAGATTCCAAGATGCCGGGTTACACCTTGCACCAAACGGAACGCCGGGACGGAAACGGGAGAGGAACGACCATCTACGTAAGGAAAGAGATTAAACACTCTTCTTCTTACGTCCCCGATCTCCGACAACTAGAAGCGACGGCGGTAACCGTTGTGACTGCGAGAGGGCCTCTGCGCCTAATTGCTTGTTACAACAACTCCAACACGCTCCAGGTTGAAGACATCGCTGACCTCGTCTCAGGTGACGAGGCCACCATCGCAACAGGCGACTTCAACGCCAAGCATTCCGACTGGCACAGCCGCCAGAACAACGCGAACGGAGGGCGACTCCGAACCTTCCTCGAAAACAGCGCAGCAGTAGACGTCATCTCCACCGAAGAACCGACGTTCTACCACCGAACCCGACCAGATGCACCATTGGACATTGCCCTCGTCAAGAACCTCCGACACGAAGTGGACGTCAACGTCGTCGACGAGCTCCACTCCGACCACCTCCCGGTGATTATACGTATCGGGAACGAACCCAACGATCCCGCGGCCAACATAATCACGACCACGGACTGGACGAAATTCGCTGAACATATCAAGGGCAACTTTGGTGAGTTTGTAACGAATTTCCAAGACAGCAAGCAAGTCGAAAGAGCAACCCTGGACTACGAGAATTGTATCCGGGTCTGCATCGACGCGACCTCAGTTCGACGCCCTGTGCGGCCATTCAAACGGCCCGCGACACCACAGCGTATCGCGAATCTCATCAGGGAAAAGAACACAGCCTGACGAACTGCACGACGAACTGGAGAACAGGACGACCGGACTGCAGCGAACCGCCTCCAATGGGAAGTCCAACAAGCACTGCTCAATCTTAGGAGCGAGCAGTGGGAACAAAGACTAGAATCCCTGAACACCGTGGACGGATTGACCTTGAAAATGGCCAAAGCGCTGAGAAGCGACAAGAGGCCACTTCCACTGATCCACAGCGCGAACAACGGCATCGTCTTCACAGAAGAGGACAAAGCCGCCGCCTTCGCTCACAGTCTGGAGAACCAATACCAGACGAACATCGACCCTGATGCAGATGACGAGCATCTGGACCTCGTCGAGAAAACCGTCGAAGAAATTCGAATGGCAGAACCCGACGAAGACGCGCTAATCCGTGAAACCCATCCCGAAGAAATCCGAGAAATCATCCGATTCCTCAAGCTCAGGAAAGCCCCAGGCCCAGATGGCATCCCGAACAAAGCGTTGAAGAACCTCTCCGACGCACTAGCAGGTATCATTAATGCAATGTTCAAATTCCGATTTTTTCCAGCTAGGTGGAAAGAAGCCCATCTCATTTTCATCCCGAAACAGGGGAAAAATCACATTTTCCCGGAAAATCACCGACCCATCAGTCTCCTCTCGTCCGTGGGGAAGGTCGCTGAGCGTGTGACTCGGAAACGACTAGCCGAGTTCGTCAACGAATGAGGCGTAGTCCCCGATGAACAGTTCGGTTTTCCCCCCCAACACTCCACATTCGAACAACTCCTCCGAGTAGTCAAATTCGCCGCAAAATCTATTAAATGGAAATAATTGACTGGCGCGGTCTTTCTAGATGTTGCGAAAGTCTTCGACACCGTCTGGCATGATGGACTTGTTTACAAGCTTCACCAAGCAGGAGCGCCTTTAGCGATGGTGCAGCTCATCCAATCTTTCCTGGATTCCCTCACGTTTAAAGCACGCATTGGGCACGCTTTATTTGCGGAACATTCAATTAGCGTAGGAGTCCCCCAGGGCTCGGTGCTTTCCCCGCTCCTGTACGCGGTTTTCACCGCGGACATACCCAAATCCCCTCGAACTAGCCTTGCCATCTACGCAGACGACACGGCTATCCTGGCACGCTCCAAAATGCCGCACCTCGTAACCCCCTACTTACAGGAGGCCGTGGATGCGCTGGAGGAGTGATGCAAACGATGGCTCTTTACAGTCAATCCAGAAAAGAGCACTGCGTTTCTTATCTCGAAAAGACGTATTGGGCCAGCAGGAAATGTCACGATG